TTCTCTGGTTCAGTCAGATCGACCCTAAGATCTCCCTGATGCTTATCCAGTTGAAGATATTCCAAGACCTTGTCCGGTTCAGTTAAATCGACCCTAAGATTTTCCTGATGCTTATCCAGTCAAAGGCCTTCTCTGGTTCAGTCAGATCGACCCTAAGATCTCCCTGATGCTTATCCAGTTGAAGATATTCCAAGACCTTGTCCGGTTCAGTTAAATCGACCCTAAGATTTTCCTGATGCTTATCCAGTCAAAGGCCTTCTCTGGTTCAGTCAGATCGACCCTAAGATCTCCCTGATGCTTATCCAGTTGAAGATATTCCAAGACCTTGTCCGGTTCAGTTAAATCGACCCTAAGATTTTCCTGATGCTTATCCAGTCAAAGGCCTTCTCTGGTTCAGTCAGATCGACCCTAAGATCTCCCTGATGCTTATCCAGTTGAAGATATTCCAAGACCTTGTCCGGTTCAGTTAAATCGACCCTAAGATTTTCCTGATGCTTATCCAGTCAAAGACCTTCTCTGGTTTAGTCAGATCGACCCTAAGATCTCCCTGATGCTTATCCAGTTGAAGATATTCCAAGACCTTGTCCGGTTCAGTTAAATCGACCCTAAGATTTTCCTGATGCTTATCCAGTCAAAGGCCTTCTCTGGTTCAGTCAGATCGACCCTAAGATCTCCCTGATGCTTATCCAGTTGAAGATATTCCAAGACCTTGTCCGGTTCAGTTAAATCGACCCTAAGATTTTCCTGATGCTTATCCAGTCAAAGGCCTTCTCTGGTTCAGTCAGATCGACCCTAAGATCTCCCTGATGCTTATCCAGTTGAAGATATTCCAAGACCTTGTCCGGTTCAGTTAAATCGACCCTAAGATTTTCCTGATGCTTATCCAGTCAAAGGCCTTCTCTGGTTCAGTCAGATCGACCCTAAGATCTCCCTGATGCTTATCCAGTTGAAGATATTCCAAGACCTTGTCCGGTTCAGTTAAATCGACCCTAAGATTTTCCTGATGCTTATCCAGTCAAAGGCCTTCTCTGGTTCAGTCAGATCGACCCTAAGATCTCCCTGATGCTTATCCAGTTGAAGATATTCCAAGACCTTGTCCGGTTCAGTTAAATCGACCCTAAGATTTTCCTGATTCTTATCCAGTCAAAGGCTTTCTCTGGTTCAGTCAGATCGACCCTAAGATCTCCCTGATTCTTATCCCAGTAGAAGACACCCAAGATTCTCTCAGCGTTCCTGTTGGGGTAGTAATCGTCCAAGATTCTCTTACCATTCATGCTAAGGCAGTAACCATCCCTGATTCATTCATCGCCGTTTGGAGCTCCAGACTCAGCTCCTGTAACCAGTCAGGACACATCTATACCAAGCATCTGAAAACCAGCTCCTGCAACGTGTCAGGTACTCATGTTTCTTTTGCAGGTATGCAGGTTCTCGCTAAGGAATCCCTTACGCAATCAACATCCAGATGGCATCTATAAGCCCATCATCCTATCCAGCAACCTCTAAATGGCATCTATAAGCCCATTCCATCATCACACTGCTACTATGTGAGCACAAATTTCTGGGCACTCTAGTGTTCAATCATCTTCCACCTTCGGATTACAAAAGGCACATCAGCCAATCTGCATCCTCAGGTCTAAGAAGATTGAACAGGGGCAACTGTTGTACCCCAAAATTTGCCCTCCCATATTTCTCAAAAAACATTTCAAGAAAAATTCACAAGTCCAACCTGGCGCGTCATATTCAGGTATTCTTTTGCCAAGATATCTCTGATAACATATTCTCAAATTCAGGTTCGGCTCAAGAGTCAATTCTTTAAAGAAGGTATCTGAATGTGTGAGTTTTCTTGAAGAAATATAGTGAAAAAAGTGTGCTGAAAGTGCAGTTTTTACGCGCTAAAAAATTCATAACTTGAAGATCGTGACTCGTTTTGAACCCGTTCCGGTGGCCAAAATTCCGTCTTGAAATTATCTACGTTTTCATCTCTCACGGATGGAAGCCAATTTCGATCAGAAGGTCTTCAAAAATGTGGATTTATCAAGTATTTTCGTGCAGAAATTTGTAACAGAAGTTTATTTGCGTCATGTTCAAAAAATCATAACTTGGTCGATTTTCATCGTATCGAGCTGGTTCCGGTGCCAAAATTTCACAAATTGAGTTGGCTACATTTTCACAGAAGGTATCGAGTTCAAACGGTATTCAAAAGGCCTTCGTTTTTTGCTCAGAGTGCGTGACACGCTGAAAATCCTGAATGCTGAATATTATTTCATCTGGGCCGAAACTTCGAAAATTCATAACTCGGTCAATTTTTATCGGATTGGGCTCATATTTTTACACAAGGTCCCTGACTCGTAGATCTACAACTTTGCTTCAAAAGTCGAGACCGGATTATGCACCGATCAATACCAGTTTTTTATTGAAGAACGTGTCAGAGTCGACACTGGAGCCCAAAATAAGTTTGTCTGAGCTGAAACTTAAAAAATTCATAACTAATTCACCGTTTATCCGATTGAGTCGATTTTCGGACAGGAGTTAGTTCTCGATGTCGGCTACATTTTGTTTTCACATTTCAACTTCAAAAAATGCACTTAAGTCCCTGCGATTTAGCCTGGAAAGTGACAAATTCAAGTGAATATTTGAGGCCCAATTGCACATTCAAAGCCCATTTGCTTTACCCTAATTTTCATTATATAATCACCTTCTTTTCACACAAACCAGAGGAAAGAAAAAAGAAGGAAGAAAAAAAAGAGAGAAAAAAACCTTGCCACAACACTGTTGGAATATCAAACTCTTTCAAGAACCCTAAAACCTTGAAATCCTTATTACAAATCCCTCTCTCACTACAAACAAAGTCATCTCAGTTACAAACCAACATCTTATTACTTCTTCAGTAAGGGTAAGGCTGGCTTGATCTCCATGATCCAAAGGGCATAAAAGCATTCATGTCACTACTTTTCCAGTAAGGGTAAGGTTGATTTGATCTCCATGATCAAAAGGGTATAATCATTCATATATGCCATATTGTGCCTAAACATTAAATTTCTTCATATATTGGTTTTATTTGCATTTTATGATTTTATTTGATGTGTTTGTGAGATTCAACACTGCAGATTTAGACAGGATCCCAGGCAGGTTCATTAAGGAACGTTGAGGCCAAAAGCCAAATGGCCAAAAGCCAAAAGCCAAATGGCCAGACTAGAAAAACTTATGCATGACACCAATACATGGCGAGGCAGACATTAAGCCAGACATTAAAGGAACGTTGAAGCCAGAACACAAATGACCAAAAGCCAAAAGCCAAAAGCCAAATGGCCAAAGTAGAACAACTTATGCATGAAACTCAATCCAATGGCCAAAGAATGCAGACCACGATACTCAGGAGTCAATACTTCAAAAAACCTCCCCTTGGGCCAGACACCCCCTATGGTTTGCTCAATTTTTAATTTTTATTTGTTTTTCCTTTTTATTCTTTTAATTGTTTTTTAATTGTTTTCTTTTAATTCCATAAAATAATTTTCATAATAAATATAAAATATAGAAAAATCAAAAAAAATGTTTATTTTATTAATATTAATTTTACTATTATTATTTTTGTAAATAAACTTTAAACAATTAATTAGATTAATTTAGGTTTCAAAACCTTAATATTTTTCTTAATAAATTAAATATGTAGAAGTTAGGGTTTTTTACTTTTTCATCATTTTTTTTAATAAATAATTTTCTCATTATTATTATTATTATTATTAACTACTAATTTATTTTGTAAATAAACATGTACATAAATTCTTTAGTAAATTAAGTTAAACTTTAACATTTTTCTCAAATAATTAAAAATAACTTAGAATTAGGGTTTCTTTTAATTTTAATTTTAATTTTCTTATTTCATAAATACAAAAAAACCTAAAAAACACTTCTTTTATTTCAATAAATAATTAATTAATTTTTAATTTCAATTTAAAAGGGTCCAACGCCCTCGTTTTCAATTTTAATTCAATTCGCACATTTTATTTATTCCTTCTTTTAAATATTGATGTAATTCTCCCAAAGCCGTGTAAGTATTTATCTTTCGCACTTTACTTTATTTCTTTATTTTATGTCAAATCGGGTCCTGGATATAATTTGGCGATGTGGACCCGCGCCTTTGTAATAGCTTAGGAACTTTACATTTCCCGCACTTTTTTTTAACTGTTAATAAATGCATGCAAGAATGAATGAATAAAAATAAAAACAAACGCATAGATCACTTTGACATGAACAAGATAAATGTAAATGAACATGACACACAAATCACACACCACCCCTAGGGTACGCCTCACTGTTGCCTTGCCTCGAAAGGTGATCGTCGAGTAGAGGATGTCTTAGTAAGTCCTCATGATCCGGGAACCTGGCATGAGGGTAGCTTCTAAGGTGTCTTCCCATTGCTCTGGTGATCACCATGTCCCTACAAACTCGAATTGACCCGAACACCTCCAACGGTGGTGCTACCTACCTCTCAATGGTGGGATGGCACTACTTTAAAGGACATTTACACAGACGAATTCCTTAGGGTAGGTAGGTTCTCTAGATACTTGCTCTAAATTTCAAAACAAATCAAAAATACTTTTCACACCGACACCTTTTCAAAAGCTTTCGAAAGCAATTTTTCAAACACTCTTGAGGACCGATACAAGAGTCGAACTGGAATTTTCAAAGAAACTTTTTTAAAACCCACTTTGAAAAGCAAACACTTTTGAAAACACAAATGAGCAAGTATCTAAGAGCCCATGGATAACCATGGATAGAAAGGGTGCTAACACCTTCCCTTTCTATAACCTACCTCCCGAACCGAGAGCAATCTCTTTAAGGAATTTTTCTGTGCTTTTGTCCTTTCCATTTGGAGAAAATAAAAGACGGTGGCGACTCTTGCTTCCGCGACATTTCGCGAACCAGCGTTAAACAGTCAGTTCCAGATCCACCGATCACACTCTCCTCCGTAGAACAGCGGCGGCGGCGCCTCCGCCCAATCAGATTACGCTGAACGTAATGACGACGACGAAGATTCCCACAACCAGATTTTGGTTGAAGGAAGAGCGAAATCGCGTACAACTATTCTCAACCGGCGATCTCTTCGTTTTGCTCCGTCTCATTCTCTCAACCTCAGCTTCCGGCGCGGCCTCTTCTTCCACTCTGTATCGACTCCATTCACCGTAAAACTCTTTCGAGCTTGCATCGATTGTAAATTTTTCAGGAGGCTGTTCTCCACTTACCTTTGAATAGACCTTGATCGTCATTTCGGCAAGCTGCCTAACTGTAACCTCATTGTTTGGGTTACCTACATTGAAGATGTGGGTATTGGCTCTGGCAGGGTTTTCAATCATCAAAAGGACAGCTTCAATGGCATCTTTGATGTAAACAAAGGTTCTCTGGGGTTCGCCGCCGTCGACAAGCTTGAGAGGCTCTCCTCTGAGAAGATTATTGCTGAGGCATGCAAGAACCCGAGGAACACCCTCTCTTGGACCGTCGATGCCGGGAATGAAGTCCATTCTGAGTCCAATCCAATTAAAGGGCCTCACAATAGTAAACTCCAAGCCATTTTCAGCACCTTCAGCATAAACCAACCTCTCAATCAACGGCTTCCGAAGCCGTCTTCTCTTCTCCCTACGTCAATTGAAACAACGCCGCCGTATCTGTAGGAGTCGCTCCGACGGTATTTCAACGGTGACGTTTGTAAGAAAACCAGAGGTTAATTCTTTAATCTAATCTTCTTCCTGTGAACTGGATGCTCTATGTTTTCGGTTGTGCTGCACTTTTAGCAATTCAAAATGATTTCTTCTGTTTTTGTGTTTTCTGCCTCCGTGAATTGTTGTTGTGGAGATCGTATCGTTGTTACAGATTTAATGTTGTTGTTGATGTATAAAATTCCTGAAGCTTGGATGATGATAATGAAGTTGGTTCTTGAAGCGGTTGCGGATCGGTGACTTGATGCAAGAAGATCGATGAAACGGGTCGAAGAACATGAAGACGAGCATAACTGTGTGCTGAAGATGTGAGTGATGCACATTGATGACTTGCAATGAAGATGATGAAGATGAAAATTCTTGTGCAGAGAGAGAATATTTATGGAGTTTTCTTGGAGTTTCCTGTGTTTCTTCTATGAAGATTGAAGAATGATTTAGGATGAAGAGGCATAAAGTTTTTTTTTTTGGTTTTTTCTGAGGGTGATTCTTCAAGTGGTGAAGAATGAAATGATTGAGAGGTAATTCTATATTTATTCTGTTAGTAAATCATATATCTATTCTCTATCTATGCATATGCTGGAAGTTGTTTTTATAGTTAGGAGGTTAGAAATTCGGTTAGGTGGTTAGGAGGTGGAAAAAAAAGTTGGTTATAGTTAGAAGTTAAGAAAAAGTTTGTTATGCAGTTAGAAGTGGTTGTTGTGCTGTTAGTTTGAGAAGGTAACAGTGTGCCCCTTTGACATCAGCTATCTAACTTATACTATATTCTCCACGTCTATTCTTCACAGTGAGGTTACATCTTAAGTCCCAAAGACGGAAGGATCCATCTCTTGAACCAGAGACAAGAATATCAGAATTAGTTGGGTGAGAACAAATAGATTTCACACTCCCCAAATGCCCCACTAACACTCCAAGACACTTCTGTTCTTGAACATCCTATACCTTGACAGTTTGATCACCAGAAGCAGTGAGGATCTGTGTATCATCCTTAATCCAGTTGACATCAAAAACCGCATTATTGTAGGAGGATTAACTAGTATTGCAGAATGATATGTTATTTGCATTGTTAATGTGTTAATACTTGCTGTAGGAGCTGGAACTGGAGAAATTTATTACCCACAGAATACCATTTTCAAAGCTTTTGATTACATGCTCAAAGGGGGAGTCCATCAGATGTATCATCAAAATGGATGAGTATTTTTCTAAAACTGTGTCGGTTTGTTTTAAGCACATAATACTTGGTGTAATTGTTGATTTTTATATTTTAAATTAAATTAACTTGATTACATACTGGTACTGAACTGGCTTGGAAAAATAGTTGTTTATGCAGGTTTTCTTTTGGTATGAAACATGGACTGAGGCTTGGACATAACCAGGTTGGAACGGGGCAATCTTGGAAGATAGTGGCTTGAAGATAAATAAGTTTAGAACTGATGGAGACCTTGATTTAGAATTCTTGATTTAGAGTTCCTTAGCTTTAGGCTACTTGAATATTTAATGTAAATTCTTGTTTTTTTTTTATTTAGTAATTTTGGATGTAAACGTCCTTTTGAAATCTTATTTTGCTGCTAGTCATACGTAATTTGCATTAGATTCTAGATTTATGACATACAATTTATATCAGTTAGATAAACACAATGCAAAAGCATATTAACTGTGTAATACTAAAGCATATTGTCAAGCAGTGTTTGGATGATGCAGAAAATGACACTATTGTAAGGCAGTCTTTGTATGTAGAAGCAAATGTCCCGGGTTCTGATATGGAAAAAAATCAACTAGTGCAATAATCTGTTGCAGATCAGATTCACCCTCCTTTCTCGGTTGTGATGTCGCAGAAATGCCCGTTAATCATGAATGACTTGGTTTTCGTCCAACAAGCATTGGCTAAATTCCTATTAGATCCTTGGAAGGAACAAGAGGGACTTATTTTATGAAAAATTCAACTGGCCAGGACATTGATGGTTTGCAAGCTTGGTCGAACTCCTTCGGCCTCACAACAGTATTAAGCAAAAAGCGTGATGTGAACCTGATGTCATTTCATTCATAGCTCATAAGTAATAATCATGATAAATTAGAGATGCATGAGACGACAATTAAATGATCGTTATGGCTGTTAGTCAAGAGTTTTGTAAGCCTGTTAACCAAAGTATATTAGTGAAAGTGATTAATCCTTATTACAATTATTAATGCTGATAAGTAACCCAATAGCAACCGAACTTTTGGATATTGGTATTAAGATAATATAATTTCACACCTGATTCATAATATAATCAATTAAATTAGTTAAATAAGAGTAGGAAGATCCACCCTCTAACAAAGTCTTCTTACTCTTTTCGCTCATCTCTTTCACTTTCTTCCTTACTGCTCCATTTTTATCCAACACACTCTTTATTCCTCGAAATCCATGATTTTATGCCAATTTATTGATTAATGATGCGTGATGTGTTAGATGACCTAATGTGAGAAAAAAATGCAAAAATGCGTAAGTCAGATAGGAAGTAGAAGGGTAGGACAAATTTGGGGTATTACAGCTGCCCCTATTTAATCGTCTTAAACCTGAAAGTACGATTGGCACATGCCTTTTGGAAGTTCAAGGTTGAAGATGATTAAATATCAATGCCAAAAATTTGTCCTGAGGGAGAATGAGTGTTTTCTTTATTTATTTATTTTGTGTTATCTGCTGGTGAAAAGAAATTTGTTTTTTTCTTTCAATGAAGAGACAGAGACTGGACTTGTAACATGGCTTGATGCCAATACAAGACAAATGGTTGGTATGAAAAGACAGCGGACGAGGTCTACGGGCGACCTACGATCCGAGGATGACACATGAGAGTGATTTGACAGAGAACCTAGCCAAAGGGCGATCTCAGGTTCGACGAAGGTTTGAAGGAAGAACCTAGCCAAGAGGCGATCTCAGGTTCGACGATGATTGAGGGAAGAACCTAGCCAAGAGGCGATCTCAGGTTCGACGATGATTTGAAGGAAGAACCCAGCCAAGAGGCGATCTCAGGTTCGACAAAGGTTTGAAGGAAGAACCTAGCCAAGAGGCGATCTCAGGTTCGACGATGATTTAAAGGAAGAACCTAGCCAAGAGGCGATCTCAGGTTCGACGATGATTTGAAGGAAGAACCTAGCCAAGAGGCGATCTCAGGTTCGACAAAGGTTTGAGGGAAGAACCTAGCCAAGAGGCGATCTCAGGTTCGACGATGATTTGAAGGAAGAACCTAGCCAAGAGGCGATCTCAGGTTCGACAAAGGTTTGAGGGAAGAACCTAGCCAAGAGGCGATCTCAGGTTCGACGATGATTTGAAGGAAGAACCTAGCCAAGAGGCGATCTCAGGTTCGACAAAGGTTTGAGGGAAGAACCTAGCCAAGAGGCGATCTCAGGTTCGACGATGATTTGAAGGAAGAACCTAGCCAAGAGGCGATCTCAGGTTCGACAAAGGTTTGAAGGAAGAACCTAGCCAAGAGGCGATCTCAGGTTCTACGATGATTTGAAGGAAGAACCTAGCCAAGAGGCGATCTCAAGTTCGACAAAGGTTTGAGGGAAGAACCTAGCCAAGAGGCAATCTCAGGTTCGACGGTGATTTTAAGGAAGAACCTAGCCAAGAGGCGATCTCAGGTTCGACAAAGGTTTGAAGGAAGAACCTAGCCAAGAGGCGATCTCAGGTTCGACAACGATTTGAAGGAAGAACCTAGCCAAGAGGCGATATCAGGTTCGACGATGATTTGAAGGAAGAACCTAGCCAAGAGGCGATCTCAGGTTCGACGATGATTTGAAGGAAGAACCTAGCCAAGAGGCGATCTTAGGTTCGACGATGATTTGAGGGAAGAACCTAGCCAAGAGGCGATCTCAGGTTCGACAAAGGTTTGAAGGAAGAACCTAGCCAAGAGTAGATCTTAGGTTCGACGATGATTTGAGGGAAGAACCTAGCCAAGAGGCGATCTCAGGTTCGACGAAGGTTTGAAGTAAGAACCTAGCCAAGAGGCGATCTCAGGTTCGACGATGATTTGAAGGAAGAACCTAGCCAAGGGGCAATCTCAGGTTCGAAAAAGGTTTGAAGTAAGAACCTAGCCAAGAGGCGATCTCAGGTTCGACGATGATTTGAAGGAAGAACCTAGCTAAGAGGCGATCTCAGGTTCGACGATGATTTGAAGGAAGAACCTAGCCAAGAGGCAATCTCAGGTTCGACGATGATTTGAAGGAAGAACCTAGCCAAGAGGCGATCTCAGGTTCGACGATGATTTGAAGGAAGAACCTAGCCAAGAGGCGATCTCAGGTTCGACGAAGGGAACATGGGTTATGACATGATGATTGTTTTAGATAAGCGACGCGGACGAGCATCAAGAAAGTTAAACACGGACGAGTGTTTGAATCAATACGGACGAGTATTGAAAGAAGATACGGACGAGTATCCAAGGTTAAACACGGACGAGTGTTTGAATCAATACGGACGAGTATTGAAAGGAGATACGGGCGAGTATCAAAAGGTTACACACGGACGAGTGTTTGATTCAATACGGACGAGTATTGAAAGAAGATACGGACGAGTATCAAAAAGTATAAACACAGACGAGTGTTTGAATCAATACGGACGAGTATTGAAAGAAGATACGGACGAGTATCAAAAAGTATAAACACGGACGAGTGTTTGAATCAATACGGACGAGTATTGAAAGAAGATACGGACGAGTATCAAAAAGGTTACACACGGACGAGTGTTTGATTCAATACGGACGAGTATTGAAAGAAGATACAGACGAGTATCAAAAAGTATAAACACGGACGAGTGTTTGAATAACTGACCC